ACTATACCAATTTAATGTAATTCCAATCAAAATCCTAATGACATTCCTCACAGAAATATAAAAAGCAGTCATTGAGCAAGCACTTTGCAAAAGAGAGATTCATCTGGAAAAATAAGAGACCCAGAATAGCTAAAGCAATCCTTAGCAAGAAAAGTGAAGCAGGTGGTATCACTATACCAGACCTTAAACAGAGCAATAGTAACAAAAACAGCATGGTATTGGCACCAAAATAGACACGTAGACCAATGTACAGAATCGAGGACACAGAGACAAACCCACATAAATACAGTTATCTCATATTAGACAAAGTCACCAAAAACATATTGGAGAAAGGATAGCCTCTTCAACAAATGGTGCTAAAAATGTTTTTTTTTTTTTTAAATTGAGAAATAACTTGCACAAGCACTTACATCAAGGTATAGCACTGTTCTAGCATTGCTGAAGACTCTCCATTGCTGAAGTACTCCCTAAGGATAACCACTCTGTTGATTTCTATCACCACAGGTGAATTTTGCTATTTGATCTATACATAAATGCAGCCATATAACATGTATCCTTTTGTGTCTTCTTTCTTTCAACATTGTATGTAAGCACTAAAAGCTTGCTTTTTTTTTTTTTTACTGATGAGTAGAATTCCAAACAAATGTGACTGTATCACATTTGTTTTTCCATTGATTGACATTTGAGTTGCTTCTAGTTATTGTTTATTGTGAAGAAGACTACTGTGAATACTAGTGTACAAATCTTTACATGGACACAGCACTCACTTCTATTCAGTGTTGAACTGCTAGGTCACAATATAAACATTCAGATCCAGTAGGTATTGCCCCAATTTTTCTGAATTGTTTTCTCCAATTTATAATTCCACCAGTGACAAAAAATTCCAGTTGTTCTGTATTATCATCCACTTTGATGTTGCCGATCTTCAATGTTATGCATCTAAAACTATGAAGGTGTCTCTTTGTGTTGGTGGTATTTCCCTGAGATTTTATTTTACATTTCTACAATGACAAATGATGTTAAGTAACTTTCCCATATTTACTGGTCATTTTGATATTCTTTTTTTGCAAAGTGCCTATTCAATTCTTTTGCCCCCTCCTTTTCCCTATTTCTTATTGATTTATATCTGGACACAAACCCTTTGTTGGCTGTATGTATATTTTCCAGTCAGTGTCTTGTCTTCCTCACTCTCTCAATTATTTTTGTTTATTTGTTTTTGCCTGTTTTAATATTAATTTTATCGATGCTTTAAAAGTTAATATTTCTGTCTTATTTAAGGCGTCTTTGCTTACTCCAAGGTCACCAAAGGCAGATTCTTATCTTCTTTTCCACGTACTTAATTGTTTATATTTTCATAGTTCTATGATCTACAATGAATTAATTTTTGTGCATGGTGAGAGGTAGGGATCAAGGGTCAATCCCTGCCCTCCATATGGATGTCCCATTGACCTAGCAACCATCATGGAAAAGACCACCCCTTCTCTACTGAATTGCCTTAGGGCTTTTCATGTAACTCAGATGTCTGCATATGCCCTTTTATCTGCCTATGCCCCTTCCTACTCTTGGAGTAGGTCTCATCTTTCAAGATACTTGGCTATCTGAATGCCTCTAAAGTATTCCCTGAGCTTGCCACTCACGCTGCTCCTGGTCTAAGGCCTTGATGAGCACTGTGTCTTACATGTACTGATCTTGCAAGCCATGATTGTTTGGCTTGTGTGTTTGCCTTCACCACAAGACTCACCATATTCATCTTCAAAGCCAGTGCCAAACACTGTGCCTAATGCAGATGATCAGTAAAAGTTTATTGAAGGAATAAGATTTAGAGCTTTTGAATGACTAAAAAAGGTCCAGCTCCCTTCAGTGTAATTTTAGAAGTAATCTGTTCTAAAAATGTCATTCTTTGAAAGATTGGTATAAAATGTCCAGTATATGGTACAGCCTGGCTATATACAGGGATCATCTGTAAACCAGTCACTTAGAGAATAAAAGGGAAAGCTTATTATGAGTGCAGAAGGCAGGAAGGAAAGAGCCAGGTGTTTAAATCAGATATTCCTCAGGACATTAAACAGAGAGAATCTAACCAGTTACATATGCATTAGTGTCTTAAGTTCCTTCCACAGGAGTCCCAATGTCCAGAGAGGCATTTACACAGTGTGTTTGTTAAAAGGTTAGAATTTGGGATTAGATCTGATCCATTTTAGGCCAAGCACATGACCTAATGTGTCCTTAATTTCTCTCAGCCTCAGCTCTGTCATCGTTAAAATGGATGATTGTAAGCTTGGAGTGAGATTATGTATGAAAAGCACACATATCCAGTGCTTTGCATAGTGAGCCTCCATGTATGGCAAAATTTGGGGGAACTCCTTCCCCAGCCCTTCATTCATGGTCTGCAAGGATGGCAATTTGCCTTTCAAAGCAAAGAGTTATTACATTTGTAGGCTGAAAATGAAAGTACATAGAAGTTCTGTACAGTTATGCCAGCATAAAATAAAGTTTGAGTTCTGCTGCTCTTTGGGGGCCATTTGCTGATGCATGTCTCACTCCCACAATAGTATCACTGTGTGAGGGAGGGGCTCCCATCCTTTGACATCAATTATTTGGAAAAAAAAAAAGGAATTGAATGGCTTGAGTGTAGCTATGATGAGGTCTTCCAAAACCCAACATTATTAAAAAATAATTTAGAATTTAAAGGGCAAGTCTACTGAATTACTGTACAAATTTTAATTTAAAAAAATAAATCAGTCTTCATAACCACCTGAAGCAAAAAAATATGGCAATATAGACCATATCCCATGCCATGAAGCTAAATTACCAAATTTTTTAAAAAATTGAAATTAAACTCAGTGTATTCTTTTATCACAAAGGACTCAAACTAGAAAATAGAAAGATAAAAGAAAATCTCCGAAACCTAGGAAAATAAACACATTTCTAAATAATCTAAGGGTCAAGTATTTAAAGGGAAAGAAAATAGAAACTGAACTTAGTGAAAAATAAAATTTAAAAGTTTGTAGAGATACCAGGCATGGTGGCTTCAGAGGCTGAGGCAGGAGGATGGAGAGTTCAAAGTCAACCTCAGCAAAAGCAAGGTGCTAAGCATCTCAGTGAGACCTTGTCTCTAAATAAAACACAAAGTTGGGCTGAGGATGTGGCTCTGTGGTTCAGTGCCCCTGTCCGCTGAGTTTAATCCCCAGTACCAAAAAAAAAAAAAAAAGTTTGTAGAATACATCTAAATTAGTACTTGGAAATTGATAGCATTAAGGAAATTGATAGCATTAAAAACACATTAGAAATTAGGAAAAGGCACAAATTAAGAATAATGTCTACCAACTGGGTCTTGGGTGTTGGGAGGGTTGGAGTTTTAGAAGCAAATAAACCAAAATCAAACAGAAGACAGAATGAATGAATATCAAAGCAGAGATTAACTATATTGAAAACAGAGACAATGAGCTGCTTGCTTGAAATGATAAATAACATTCACAAATTAGTAATAATATTGATGAAGGAAAGAATAGGTTAATTTTCAATATCAAGTATTAAATGGAATATTAATTATGACAGACCCTGAAGACATTAACAACATAATAAAGAAACAGTGTTGCTGTTGTTGGGTACCTGTTCTGCCCCCAAAATGGCTCAGTATTGGCAGCTTGGTCTCAGTTTGGTGATGCAGGCCAGTAGAATCTTTAAGAGGTGGACTAAGTGAAAGGTTATTGGATCCCCATTTGGCATCAAGAATTTGCAAGAGCAGGCCCACTAAGAATATGCACTTCACTGATAAACCCAAGAAGTTGCGTGAGCATATAGATTGATGGACAAACATCAAATGACAAAGTTCAACACCTATGAATAAAAACTCTTAGAAAAATAGGAATAAGCATGTTATATGTTAAATTATGTCTTGTAGAGCACTTGTATAGGTACTAGCCACACACATAGAATAAGCCCTTTTTTCAGAAATGGCAATATTTTGATGTAATTATCTAAGATGGGGTCATAATGGAATAGGGCAAGCTGTTTTCCAGTGTGAGTGGCGTCCTTATAAAGGAGAGGAAGGTGGGCTACTGGCCCAGTGGGACTTGTGACCTTATAAGGAGAGGAGGGCAGGCTGCTGGTTCAGTAGCACTTTTGCCCTTATAAGGACAGGAGAGGGGCTGCTCATTTGGTGGGCCTTGTGCCCTTATAAGGAGAGCAGGGCAAGCTCCTGATTCACGTGGCCTTGTACCCAGAAATGACTATCTTCTCTCATATCTACTTGACCTCTCACATGAAATATTTAATTTCCATCCCTTTCATTTTCAGTAGGTCCTACAGGTATTTCTGTGCAGTTCCTCTGGCATTACCTTTAACATGAGCCAGAGAAACAACTCTGGTGTGAAGCTCTAGCACCATAGCTTCAGGACCAGAAAATGCTCTTCTTGTACATCTCTACGCGTCCCCCTCAGTTACAGCAGTAACACATATGCATCATGTATAGGACTGTATGGAGAAATTATGATGAATCTTTAAGCCTCCCTCTCTCAGCACCACATAGTGTTCCTACTGTGCTCTAAGGTGTCTTAGGGAACAGAGCATTCTGTTATAGTATCACCATGTCAGTGAGGTGCTACCATCCTTTTCACACCAGTTACTCCAAGTTCAAAGAAAAAGGAATTGAATACCTTCAGGGTAAATGTGTTGTAATGTTTCAAAGTAAAAAGTTATAGATTTGTAGGCTGAAATGAAAACTGCATTGAAGTTCCACCCAAATATTAATTGCTAAATAAGTAACTATCAGTCTCCAGAGCCCACTAAAGCAAGAAAGGTCTGGAGTCCTTCCTTGTTCCCAGTCTGCAGATGGAACCAGTTCTGGAGGCCCCAGAGGAAGATGACCACTGGGAGTTATGGCCAGGCGTGACTGGGCGATAACTTGCTCTGATGTCACAAGGAGCTATTGTGAACAAGTTTCAAAGGGCAGGTATATAAGAGAATGGCCGCGGCTGGGTTTTTGTCCACAAGTACAGGAAGCTCTTGGTGGTGACCTGTCGGACTCCCAGCTAGTTAGTGCGTTTGGTGGTTGGTGGTTGGTGGTTGTTGGTGGTGGTCTTTGGCTATTGGTTCTTTGGTTTGGGTTTGTTGTTTTGTCTTGTTTGTGTTTTTGATTTGGATTTGTTGTTTTAGTCTGTTATTTTGTTTTTAAGCTAGCATCCTTGGGTGGTATTCCTGCTTAGGATGGATAGCCAGAGTAGTGAGATTAGTGTAGTGCCGCAGGGGCCCAGCTCCTGCCACGAGGCAGTCCTGAGGGACCACCAGTACCAGGTCCTGAGGGACATCGGGTGTGGCGGGTTCGGCCAGGTCCAACTGGCCCGCCATGGCCCCACAGGAGCAGAGGTGGCAGTGAAGGTCCTGCCCAAGACAGTGCAGAACCTCCCGTTCCTGGCCGAGCCCCATACGATGAGGAGCCTGAAGCACCCCCACGTGATTCAGTTGTTTGAGGTGCTGGAGACGCCCCAGAATATCTACATGGTGATGGAGCACGGAGGTGGGGGCCCGCTCCAGGACTACGTCCCCGAGGGAGGCCTGCAGGAGGAGGAGGCGCGCAGGCTCTTCCGGCAGATAGTGAGCGCCGTGGGCTACTGCCACGACAGGGGCTTCGTGCACAGGGACCTGAAGCCAGAGAACATCGTGCTGGACGCCAGAGGCCAGGTCAAGCTGATCGACTTCGGCTTCAGCACCACGGTCCACCCTGGGCAGAAACTGCGCGAGTTCTGGGGCACCCTCTCCCACTTTGCCCCCGAGATTATCCTGAGGCAAGCGTACGAGGGCTCCCCGGTGGACATCTGGAGCCTGGGGGTCATTCTCTACTTCATGTTGACAGGGCGGTGCCCCTTCACGGGGCCCACGGCTAAGAAGATGCTGAGGAAGATCGTGCGGGGCGCCTACTGCCTCCCCCACCGCGTTTCGGCGCCAGCGCAGATCCTCCTCCGCCAGATCCTGACCCGGGACCCCCGCAAGCGGCCCACGGCCAGGCAGATCCTTCAGCACACCTGGCTGGCGCAGGGGGAGCAGCCTGTACCCCGGGATTATGGGGAAGCCCTCCCCACACACCCGGACCCCGAAATACTGACCGTCATGTTCGATATGGGATACGATCTGCAGGACACCTGCGGGTCTCTGGCCCAGGGGAAGTTCAATGCAGCCATGGCCACCTACCTCATCCTGGAGCACCAGAAAAGCCAGGGGGCCGGCGTGTTCCAGGGGACTGCTGCGCCCCCCAGGGTGAAGCCTTGCCCCCGCCCCCGCCCCGTGGATCCTTCCAGCTCCCTGGTTCTCCCCAAGAGGTGTCCCAGTGAGCCTTCCCTTCGCCCCTTGCCCTTGCCCTTGCCCTTGCCCTGTGAGCCTCCGTTGCTGGAGGAGGCCCAAGTGTCAGGGCAGAGGCACATCCGAATTGCCAGCCAGCCTGCCATCCATTTCCACTTTCCGCCTGCAAGGACCCCCGCATCGGATTCAGCCTCCCAGACCGACTCTGGGCAAACCTGTGCCAGCAGAAAGTTCTGGAAGCGAGTGTTGGGGAGGATTGCTTCCTGTGGGCTACAACTGTGCTGTTGCATTCCACGTGTCAGCACTAAGGTGGCTCCAATGTAAGAGTGCAGAGACCTGCCAGATACACAGCGAAGCTCCAAGCTGTGCCCTGTGGAGCCTCACTCCTCGTGTGGCCGCCATCGGCCATGTGGACTCTGCAGAGCTGCAGGAGCAAGATGTGCTGCCTGCCTCAGGTTCCCGTGCCGGGTTCCAGCTGAGAGCACTTCTGCCTCCACCAGGACATCAGGACCCTTCTCTGCCCCCACCTGCAGAAGACGTCAGACTGTCTCCCTGGGATGCTTCGCCTACCCTGCTCCTCTGTCCTTTCATTTTTCTGAGATGTTTCTTAATAAATTTGTTTCAAATTGTGTAATTAAATGATTATGAAGAAATCTTTATTTATGATAACTCACAATGGCTGGGTGTGGCTAGGGAAGAATAGAGGTACTTTGGATTAGACAGAAGGGAGTGAAGGGGGAGGGGAGAGGGGTCTGGAATTTGGAAAGATAGGGTAATGAAGTTCAACTATGTGCATATATATTACACCACCAGTGTAACTCTCCATCAGTGTAACTCTCCATCACGTACAATCAGAAGAATGAGAAGTTATACCCCATTTATGTATGATGTGTCAAAATGCATGATGTGTCAAACAGTCATGTGTAACTAATTAGAACAAGTAAAGAATGTGGAACAATAAAAATTTAAAATTTCTAATACCATCATCAGAGGTGATGCCTTAGTTTCTAGAAGATCTCCACCTATTCCCCAGAAAGATCACAAAGATTCTTTCTCCTATTAGCTATCTCTCTGTCTCATTTCTATCATAGAATAATATCCTACAACCTCCTAAACTTGAGAAGGTGATTTGTTAGCAAAGCTCCCTCTTCTCCATTCTTTGACCTCACAATAGTCTCTTTCTCCTAACCCTTGTGTCTCATTGATTTTTCTTGAGTTGAACTTCTTGAAATCGTGTTGGGTTACAGCCTGAGTGATCCTGCCCAATGGGCATGCTCTTTGTGCTAGTCTCTAGACTGAGCTCTTAGCACAAGTCATCTCATTGATGCTCATAGCTACCCTAGGGTAAAATTGTCCCACTTAAAGATGAAAAAAGAATCATACAGCTACAAATGGCAGAGTTGAGTTTTGAATCCAGGGATCTGCTTTCAGGACCAGCAGGTTCAACCACTGACCATCAGTTGCTGGGCTCTCAGGGACAAGAGGGTAAAGGGGAACAATGTGGCATTAGGAGGCAGACAAGGGTCTGCATTCCTTGCTCCTAGCTGTGTGAGCACAGACAACCTCTAGCCTCTTTGGGCCTCATTTCCTCATCTGAGTGGGAGAGGAATTGTTTACTTGGATCCAGGGAGACAATAATGCAGGTTAAGAGCATTCAGCATATTGAAAGCAGTACTCTGTGCCAACCCTGGGGACACAGGGGGGTGAATAGTACAGACATAGCCTTCCCTTCTGATGCTCAAACTATTGGTGGAACCAGGAAAGGAACCATCTGGGGTATTGCAGGAGGTCCTGGGAGCACTGAAAGGGGAGTCAAGGAAGTTTCTATATGAGGTGAGAAGGAGTTGGGGCACCAGTGTTAGGGTCTGTAAACAATTCAGGATGGTGCCTGGCATTTTGCCAGAGGGAGTGGTTTGTGAAGTAACGCCAGTGAGCCATTAAGTGTGGAGATTCCTTATTGGTTGACTGCTATATCTAGTTTATGTTAATTAAGATAAGCTATGTGGAATGTATATATACCTCTCCTGTCCTACAATAAAGGGCTCCCACTCCTGCTGTACCAATGTACACAAGTTGTTCGTCACCCCCCAGGTTATTTTGCTGCAGCCAGACTGCGACAACCAGGAGTAGGGAATGTTCCAGAAGGAGAAACAGCATGGTAGAGATCTGGTAGGAAGAGAGTCCACAGTGCATCAGAGGCTCAGGGTGCTGAACAATATGAAGACCACAAGAGCACAAAGAACTAAAAGCTTGAGCAGTCCTCTGACCTTAGGTTGCAGAGGGTTGGCATTCTAGGGTAGAGGACAGAACCAGAGGGGCAGAGGTCAGAGAATTTGTGGGTCTTGGAAGGCAGATGGGGTGAGGCTGCAGGAGAGGCTGGACCCAGGTCAGGAAGGGCCTTGAAGACCACAGGAGGACTTTTTTGGACCATGGGGAGCCATTGAAGGTGATTGAGCAAGGGAGAGCCAAAATCATCATCATGCTTCAGGCAGATCACTAATCAAGAAGAGAAGCTCAGACGTGCAAACTTCACCTTGTCCTTTTAGAGAGGAAACCAGACTCAGAGAATTCTGTGACTTTCCAGAAATTTTGCTACTTGCCCACATTTGTGATGTATCTGTTGTAGAGGACAGACGAGGCAGGGCAACGAAGATAGCAGGAAACAGTTTTATTTGGCTCAGAGGGCACGGCTTTTGCTGTAACCAATTAATCCCCTGAACCCGGAGTTCAGGTAGTTTCAGAACTTTACACCCAGCATGTAAGGGGAGGGGCTCACAAGTTCCCAGTCTGTAGAAGTTCACATAAAGACAACTTTTTCTCTAACTGTTCTTGGCAAGTTAACCCTTCAAGGACACCACCTGAGAAGGGGAGAGCTTCTTCTCCCCTTTCTTTCCTCCCCCTGCCAGCTGTTACCATGGATCCCAGTTGGTAACTTCTCTTATCTTAGAAATGTAGACATCTCTGTAAAGCCCTGCTCAAGGCCAGAGGCCTTGTTAAAGGATTTGTCTTTTTTTTTTTTTAATCACACTTTGCATTTGCAAACACACTTCTACAAACTACTCTACTGGGTAAATGGTGTTTGTGGAAAAACTAGTAAAGGGGCATCTAGCACTTGGAGTGCTGATTTCTTCCAGGCCAGTGGCCAAATAAAACAAAGCAACAGGAAAATAGGAAGTTTAACTACATTGAACTCTTTTGTAGAGACTGTTTTGCTGACAAAGTCAGCCATGGTAAAGATTTCTGAAGAAGCCCAGTTAAGATTTTCCATGGAGAAGGGGGGCCACTACATTTCTAGTTCCTTGCAGTGATTATCCACAAGACCTAAAGCCAGGAAGAGATTGTGGAATGGCAAAGTCAAGTCGGGGGAGCTAGCAAGGGGCAGAATGCTCAGAAGTCTGTTAAGGGCAGGAAGAGCCCAGAGGTAGGTTGTAGGGAGCTGCAGGGGGTGGTGTGCAGCAGGGACACCATGGTGCAGGGCGTGCGGGGAGTCACAGGGAGACAATCCAGCTTCTGTGATGTCCCTGAGGCCCTGCCCCTGCCCAGGGTCCCCTCACCTGCACACGCAGCCCCATCTGAGGAGGAGCCAAACCTAGAGCAGGTGGCAGGACCCTGATCCCAGGCTTAGCCTGCTGCCTTCACCTAGGTCACCCCAGACCTTGAGACCCCCCCAAAAACACATATGCAGGAACTGGACGGAGACACTGCCTGAAGGAGACAGTGGCAAGGCCTGTGTTGACCCTGAGCTAGCTTCCGCATGGCTCTGAGCCTCAGCTTCCTCACCCAGGCCAATCTCCCCTTGGCACCTTCCCAGGTTTATGGTAAGGCTGGGAGGGGACCACCGGCAGGGATGTGTCTCCACTCTGTGGGCTGGGATGTTCCCTCTGGACCTGGCCTGGAGAGCACTGAATTGCACCGTGGGGAAGTTCTGCCTGGTCAGGCATCTGGGGCTGTGGTCATGCTAAGGAAGTCTCAGCTTGCTGTACTTCTTTCTTTCTCTCTCTCTCTTGATGGTACTGGGACTTGAACCAGGGGAACTGTACCACTGACCTACACCCCACCCATTCACTCTCCACCCCAATTTTTTGTTGTTGTTTTTTTGTTTTTTTTTTTTTTTTAGATTTTGAGACAGGGTCTTCTTGAGTTTCTTAGGGCAACTCAAACTTTCGATCCTCTTACCTCCGCCTCCTGAATTCCTGGGATTCTAAATGTGCATCACCATGCCTAGCTGCACATCTCTCTTTACTTCTTTTCTCTCCCTTGTTTGTGAGCTTTTTTTAAAAAAAAAAAAAAAAAAAAAGACCAGAGCAACTCACTAGAATTATACCATGTTTTTGTGTTTGATTTTCTTAGGCTCCAAGAAGCACTATAATTTTTTGTATTTAAAAGGGAACTTTTAGACTTCACTAACACTTTTAATGTTTATTCTCTCTACTCAGCAACTCTGTGTCTAGAAATTTATTCTATGGGTACAAACACATAAATATGAAAATATAAATATATTTTCAGATCAGGGTTATTGTAGCATAATTAATTCATAACTCTAAAGATTGAAGAACAATGTAAATGTCCATCAAAAAGGGGAAAAGTTAGCTAATTTATGGCACAAATATAAATGGGTACAATTCTCAAAATAGAGAAATTAATATCTGTATGTACCACTGGCTGTGAGTGTGTCCATAATGTACTGTTAAGTAGAAAACAAAGTTGCAAAATTGTAGTGGTAGTTTTAAAAACAACCATAATTTAATTAGATGCAAAATACAAACATTAGTATGTATGTAAGTAGGGGGAACCCAATAAAAATAAACTCAACTATTAACAGTTTAAATAGAATTTCCATAAGATAAATTGCTACCACAGAGTCACTGACTAAAGTAAGAAAGCATTTTAAAATGTTCTCAGAGTCTAAAATATGAAAATTCACAAAGGGAAGGTTTTCTCTTTCTGTATTATATATTCTGGGAATGGGTTTGGGGCATATTCTTTAAACACATTAATTATTATAAAACTAGACAATGCACTCTAGATAACAGAGGCCTTGGAGAGACAGGTTTTAATTCAGAGAAGAGACATTAATGAGCCTGGAGACCCCTCCTGGGCTGCAGCTTAGCGTGGCGGCAACAAACTCTTTCAGTCTTTCCTTCTTCTTCCAGAAGCAAGTATCCCCGGCAGAGAGTGGATGGTGGAAGAAATGTGTAGTCCAGGCGGCTCCTCTGTCTGGGAGTTTATCGCCTTGATTATTTCACTTGATTTGCACAATAACCCAATACGCTTGTGGTCTCCTTCCATCTCCAAAGCTGGAAATCCTGCTGATGGAACTTCTGCTTCCATTGTTACATCCCTGACCCTGACTCTCCCACCGGGTTCTTGTTAAGGACTCTGTGAGAACACTGGGCCCATCCAGGTGACCCAGGATGTCTCCTTATCTCAAGATATTATCCCACCTGCAAAGCCCCCTTTTGACGTGCTAGGCAACATATTCATAGGTATAGGGGATTAGGATGCAGACATCTTTGGGGGCCATTCTTCTGCCTACCGTGTTGGAGAAGTCATTACAAAATACAAATGGAGGAAGAGGGAATTGCTGGAGTGTGAGTGGAGGTGGGTGGAAGAACATTCCAGAAGAGGACACAGCATAA